GGTGCCTTTAGCCACCCGCCCAAGACGAGCGAGGAGCGCTTCGCCGCCTCCTCGGGCTCGCGCGGTCCGGGCGGCATGGGCGCGTTCGGGCCCATGGGCTCGTTCACCGCCGGTGCGCGCTCGCAGCCGCTGTCGAGGACCGGCAGCGGAAGCGCGGCGCTGCCGTCGCGCGACATGATGGGCACCGGCATCCCGCAGGGCGGCCGGACCAAGAGCAACCGCGGGCGCCAGCGCGACCCCAACACCAGCCGCGGTCCGCAGGTCAACCCGCCGGAGAAGGGCGGTCCGACGATCCCGCTCGACCAGGTCGTGCCGCTGGCCAACTCCGAGAACCGGTGGCAGCCGCAGGGGCGCGCGAGCACCGTCAAGCCCGACTCGCCCGAGATGGTGCAACGCAAGGTCAAGGCGCTGCTCAACAAGCTCACGCTGGAGAAGTTCGACAGCATCTCGACGCAGATCCTAGACTGGGCAAACAAGTCGGTCAACGAGAACGACGGCCGGACGCTGCGCCAGGTCATTCAGCTCATTTTCGAGAAGGCCACCGACGAGGCGGCGTGGTCGGAGATGTACGCGCGTCTCTGCCGCAAGATCATGGAGGACCTCAGCAACGACGTCAAGGACGAGAACCTGCGCACCGCCGACGGCAAGGCCGTTGTTGGCGGTGCCCTCTTCCGCAAGTACCTGCTCAACCGGTGCCAGGAGGACTTCGAGCGCGGCTGGGCGCAGCGCGACGACGCCGTCGCCGCCGCCAAGTCCAAGGAGGCCGAGGACAAGGCCAAGAAGGAGAGCAACGACAAGGCCGAGGACGAGGCGCGCGAGGCCGTCGAGCGCGGCGAGCAGCCGTCGTCGGCGCCCAAGGAGGCCGAGCTCCTCTCCGACGAGTACTACGAGGCCCAGAAGGCCAAGCGACGCGGCCTCGGCCTCGTCAAGTTCATCGGAGAGCTCTTCAAGCTGAGCATGCTGACGGAGCGCATCATGCACCTGTGCATCAAGAAGCTGCTCAGCAACGCCACCGACCCCGAGGAGGAGGAGATCGAGTCGCTCTGCAAGCTCATGACGACCGTCGGCAAGCTGCTCGACACCGACAAGGCGCGCGGCCACATGGACGTCTACTTTACGCGCATGCGCGAGATGGCCAACAACGAGGCCTCGATCAACTCGAGGATGCGCTTCATGCTGCTCGATGTCATCGAGCTGCGCGACAGCCACTGGACGCCGCGCCACGACAACTCGGCGCCCAAGACGATTGCCCAGATCCACGCCGACGCGGCCAAGGCCAAGCAGCAGCAGGAGGCCGAGGCGGCGGCACGCCAGAGCCGCGGCGGGCCCATGTCCCGCGGCGGGTCCAAGA